TGCTTTGAGTAGGAAGTCAGCCAGTATGGGCAGTCTTGCTTATATTCCGATTGGTGAGAGACTGCTTGCCTTGGATGTTCAGGCTTTGGCCAATCAGTTCGTGAGGTTGGATGTTTCTGAGCCCAACCATGTGTTAGCTTGCACAGTCGCTCGTTTTTATTTATTGGAGCATATCCGAGATCGGCAGTATGATAATCCTCATTTGTGTGTCCTTAGAGATACGGTGCAGCACAGAGGTGCCAAGCAGGTTACCTTAGGAGATGATGGAGTTTTGAGATTGCAGGGTCGAGTTTGTGTGCCTAATGTGGATGGACTCCGAGAGTTGATTTTAAAGGAGGCTCATAGTTCCCGGTACTCTATTCATCTGGGCGCCGCTAAGATGTATCAGGATTTGCGACAGCATTATTGGTGGAGGAGAATGAAGAAGGACATTATTGCATATGTGGCTCGGTGTTGTTGAACTGTTAGCAGGTTAAGTACGAGCATCAGAGGCCCGATGGTTTGTTCTAGAAGATTGAGATTCCTGAGTGGAAGTGGGAGCGTATCACTATGGACTTCGTTGTTGGACTCAGAGGAAGTTCGATGCAGTATGGGTTATTGTTGATAGGCTGACCAAGTCAACACATTTCATTCATATGGCAGTCTCCTATTCTTCCGAGAGGTTAGCTGAGATCTATATCTGGGAGATTGTTTGCCTTCATGGTGTGCCCGTGTCTATCATTTTAGATCGAGGTATGCAGTTTACCTCATATTTCTAAAGAGCATTTAAGCGAGAGTTGGGCACACGGGTTGAGTTGAGCACAACATTTCATCCTCAGACGGACAGGCAGTCCAAGCGGACCATTCAGATTTTGGAGGATATGCTCCGAGCTTGTGTCATTGACTTTGGAGGCTTATGGGATCAATTTTTGCCTTTAGCATAGTTTTCCTACAACAACAGCTACAAATCGAGTATCTAGATGGCCCCTTATGAGGCTTTGTATGGTAGGCAGTGTCGGTCACCGATTGGATGGTTTGAGCCGGGAGAGGCTCGGTTGTTGGGTACAGATCTAGTTCAAAATACCTTGGACAAGGTCAGGATTATTCAGGATAGGCTCCGTACAGCTCAGTACATGCAAAAGAGTTATGCCTACCGTAAGGTTTATGATTTGGCTTTCATGGTCGGTGAGCGGGTATTGCTTCGAGTGTCGCCTATGAAGGGCGTGATGAGATTTGGGGAAAAAGGCAAGCTTAGCCCTAGGTTCATTAGCCCGTTTGAGATTCTTGATCGAGTGGGAGAGGTGGCTTACAGACTTGTGTTTCCACCGAGCTTATCATCCGTGCATCCAGTGTTTCATGTTTCCATGCTTCGGAAGTATCACGGCGATCCATCCCACGTGTTAGATTTTAGCACTGTTTCGTTGGACAAGGACTTCTCCTACGAGGAGGAGCCGGTAGCTATTCTAGACTAGCAGGTTCGTCAGTTGAGATCGAAAAGTTTCCCTTCTGTTCGTGTTCAGTGGAGAGGTCAGCCTGCTGAGACATCGACCTGGGAGTCCGAGTTCGATATGCGGAGCCGTTATCCTCATCTTTTCCCCGACTCAGGTACTTCCTTCTTATATTCGTTCTAGGACGAACGATTGTTTTAGAGGTGGAGAATGTGATGACCCAAATGGTCATCACTTGTTTTAAAAACAAATCCTATCTTCCGAGGCCTTAAAAACCTCTTTCTATCTCACATCGATTTGCGTGCACAGTCCGAGCGCGTAGTCGGAAAGCCATTTTGTGAAAATCTGGGAAAAATGATGAATTTTTCCTTTAAAATGAGTTTAAGTTGACTACGATCAACATTTTGGGTAAACGGACCCGGACCCATAATTTGACGGTCCCTGAGGGTCCGTAGGAAAATATGGGACTTGGGCATATGCCTGGAATCGAATTCTGAGGTCCCAAGCCCGACAAATGAATTTTTAAAGAAAATTATTTTCTGGATTATTTATGAGTTTTTGGAAATGAAATGTTTTTAAAATTTGATGGTATCGGGCATGTATTCTTGTTCTGGAGCCTGGTACGGGTCTTATATGTGATTTAAGTTGAGTTTGTGAAATTTGGTAAGAAACGGACTTGAAATGACGTGAATCGGACCGTATTTAAGAAAATTGGAAAATTAGAGGTTCTTAAGTGATTTCATGATTTTTATGCTAAATTCATAATTGTTGATGTTATTTTGGCGATTTGATCGCACGAGTAAGTTTATATGATATTTTTGAGTTAGTATGAATATTTGGTTTGGAGCCCCGAGGGCTCGGGTGAGTTTCGGATAGGTTTGGGATGGTTTTAAACTTAGAAAAAAAAGTTGCAGGTTTTCAGTTTTTGGTGCACAGGGATTTTGTGCTTCGCGTTTGCGTGGCTTCACTCGCGAACGCGGAAGGCAATCACCCTCAGGTGAAAATTTTTTCTTCGCGAATGCGGAGCTTGGGACGCGAACGCGAGGTTGTGGGGGGAATACCCTACGCGAATGCGTCCAGGCCCTCGTGAACGCGTAGGGTTAGTAGCCTGGGGGAGGGATTTCACACTTTACCTTATGCGAACGCGGCCACCTGACCGCGAACGCGATGACTCTGGGAGTTAAAGGTTTGTGAACGCGAGCTTCTGATCGCGAATGCGATGGTCAGCTGGGCCTGACCCATCGCGAATACGACAGGCCTATCGCGAACGCGATGAAGGCCTGCCCAGTGATTTTAAAACAGAAGCAAAAACGGGCAGAACCCATTTACTTCATATTTTCGAAATTTGGGAGCATTGAGGCGATTTTCAAAGAACATTTTCTTCCCCAAAATATTGGTAAATGATTCTAAACCTTTTTCTTTCGGTTTCCCATTGCATTTCATGGTTGGGTATTGGTTGGGTATTGGTGCTAGTTGAGGTTCTTTTGTGAAGTTAGATGTTGGAACAAGTTTGGTTATAGCTGATTTTCCCTTGCCGGGACGTATTTACTTATACCGTCGATTCCCTTGCCGGGATAGGGTTGTTTTCTTTGTTGTTCCCTTGCCAGAACTCTCTTTGTGATTGGTGTTGAACTGTATATGTGGATCGGGTTGCACGCCGCAATAATATTGTATTTGGATCAGGTTGCACACCGCAACAGTGATAAATGATATAGATCGGGTTGCACACTACAACAGTGTTTTATGATTTGGATCGGGTTGCGCGCCGCAACAATAGATAATAAAAGTGTTTATTGATTGATAATGATTTCCTTATTCTTTTGCTGTGAATTTTAAATAGTTCTTTATGCTTTTCTCTTAAATTACTGTTGGTAAATGATATTCCCTGCAGTATGTCCCCCTCCTATCTTTAATTATCTATTTCTGTTTATTTTCCGTTGTATATGATATAATTGCACAGGTTTATTTGGTAGTCTGGTCCTAGCCTCGTCACTACTTCGCCAGAGCTAGGCCAGACACTTACCAGCACATGGGGTCGGTTGTACTGATACTACACTCTGCACTTTGTGCAGATCCCGGAGTGACAGCTTTTGGACCATAGCTTTGGGTGGCTGCCTTCAGTCCAGTCAGAGATCGCGAGGTAGTCCTGCAGGCGTCTGCAGGCTCCGGCGTTCTCTTCTATCTCTATATTCTGCTTTCATTTACTTTAGAGACAGATTGTATCTTTCTTCCCAGACAATTGTTTGTAGTATTCGTAGACGGTCCGTGATATTGTGACACCGGTTCCGGGTAGAGATGTACTTGGCATTGTCGTACTTCTTTTTTTGGCTAAGTTATCAGATTACGTCTTCCGCATGTATTTAATTACTATTAATATTTCACTGTTAATCGCATGTTGATTTAAACTGTTAAAAGGGCTAAATAAAAGAGTTAGTGAATCTATAATACTCGGCTTGCCTAGCTTTCACGAGTAGGCGCCATCACGACTCTTGAGGGTGAGAAATTCGGGTCGTGACATGAGGTCACCAAAGGGAATCCTTCTCAATCAGAGGAAATATGCCCTTAGTCTGATCTCTGAAGTTGGGCAGAGTGGGGAAAAACCTGCAAGTTCTCCACTTGAACAAAATCAAAAGCTAACTACAGTAGACTATGACAAATATGTAGGGGCAATAGGAGATGAAGAATTGCATGATATAGGTGGATATCAAAAACTTATAGGAAAGCTAATATATCTGACCATAACCAGACTAGACATATGCTTTGTTGTTCAAATGCTGAGTCAGTTTATGCAACATCTAGAACAGTCACACCTAGAGGCAGTATTGAGAGTTGTAAGATATATTAAGGGATGTCGAGGAAGAGGAGTATTACTGAAAAAGGAACCTGTAGAACAAGTCACAGCCTATTGTGATTCAGATTAGGCAGTCTGTCCAAACACAAGAAGATCTGTTACAAGGTATGTGGTGAAAATGGGTGATTCCTTGATCTTATGGAAATAAATAAAAAAAGCAACAGACTGTGAGCAGAAGTTCAGTAGAAGCTGAGTATAGAAGCATGGCAGCTGTGGTATCTGAAGTAGTTTGGCTCACAAGGTTGATTTAAGAGCTTGGAATTGAGGTTCAAATACCTGTGAAGCTGTTTTGTGATAGCAAAGCAGCTCTACAGATTGTTGCCAATCCAATCTATCATGAAAGAACTAAACACATAGAGATAGACTGTCATTTTGTGAGGGAAAGAATCAAAAGTGGTCTGATTACACCAGAACATATATCAATAAGAGAGCAAGTTGCAGATATGATGACCAAAGCCTTAGGTACTGCACATCACCAGATTCTTGTGTCTAAGCTGGGAGTGTTAGATGTTTTTCACCCTTCAACTTGAGGGGGAGTTTTGTGATAATAGATACTACTTAAGAGTTAGGGACCAAAATGTGAATAGTAAAAGTTAGAAGACAAAATTGTAATGAAGGAAAAGTTGGGAAGTTAGTCTGTTAAAAAGATCAGTTATTGATCCACATTTTCTCTCCTCCTTCTCTTTAGCTTTCTCTCTCTATAATTCACTGTCAATTAGCAATCTTCATAGCTTGAATCCTGTAAATTGACACTTATTACTTACCATTTTTTTAGTTTTCCATAAATCCTATGTACTTTAAACCTTCTTTTGGTAAATTGCTCTGCATCAATTTTGAAATTTTCATTATCGTGGTGGAACTCATTTGAAATTTCACATACACTTGAACAATAACACTCGCTTATTATCTTTCTAATAAAATTCCACATGGTCTTTTCAATAACAAAATTAGTTTTTAAAGCCATCCGCTTCTCCTGATTACCTCTATATAGCTTATTAAAAGTCATTATCTATTCCTATATTATAAATGGGGATAACCAGGCAGCTCATGGTCAACATGTCTGCCTGACCCAAAATTATTTCATGGTTGTATTTGCAGCCCAACACATGTAGCCCAATTTTAATAGCTATCAATTCACCGTTTGATTTATCTTGCTATATCCGACACTTTCCAAGTTTATCTGCGAAGCCCTCTTCTTCAAACGCCTCTTTGCTTCATATTTGTGCTCTCTTGCTCCTCCCCTCTGATCTATTGCTATTTTCTACTGGGTAATCTTCTTCTCAACTTGTGTTTTTTGTATTGATTTTGTTTCAATCTTTGATAATATTGTAGGTATTTGTGTTTTTCCCTGAATAGCGAATAAATTCTGTTCTCAAGGTGTTTGACAAAATTCTTCAATCAGGATTTTTACTAGATTTGTTATACATGTTCCTGCCTGTTATTTTCTTTGGTTGCATTTTGAGTTAGGGCTTTCATGTACTTCTTTAGTGCCTGAGATATACCAAGGGGCAATGGCTGAAGTTTATGCTAAATTGATCAAGAAAAGGGTTATTTCTTGGTTTTGGTTCAGAGAAGAACAAATTTATTTTCGTATCTTTGTGTTTCCAAAACCCAAAAATTGATTTTGAAACCAAATAACTTCGTTTGGTTTTGATTTCTGAAAATGTCTTGTACTGCATAGAGCAAATGGGTCCCATGCAACTGCTTTGTACTTTCATTTTCTTGAGTAGGAGAACTTCTTCTTAAAAGAAAGTGAACGCTGTTTAGGACAACTAAGAGTGCAGAGTAGTAATTTGAGATGGGGCGTATTAAAAGGTTTGTAATATTTATTTTCTTCAGTTTATGTGCTCTGCTAAGTTATGTTGCAAAAGTAGGACAGAAAATTGACTTGGAAGTTCTTGATTCAGCTTCTCTTGACAAGTATATTTCCAAGATATCAGGAATAAGTCAAAAATAATTTTGGCAGAGTTAATATTTTAAATATTGTATAGTTGGTGACAACAATCTTATTACCAGTAAAATTGACATTGAAGATTCACTTTGTAGATGAATTGATTAACATCATTTCCCTCTTAAAGAAACATAGTGAATACTTTGTACAAGAATTGATTAATATCATTTTTCTTTTAAAGAAACATAGTGAATATACTCTTGCAGTTGAGTTGTATAAGTTGCTCCATTTATAGCTATTGTAGTTCTCGTGATTGAGAAGCATCTACATGTTCAATTAAACAACCATTAGATGTTGTTACAATTTTTCTTATATGTAGTGGTCAGAAAATAAAAGTCACATATATTTGAGTCTCAGTAGTACTTTTTATTAATCTGATGCTATTCGCTTCAGATGTTACCTCTGCCAGCAAACTATTTCTATTTACTTCGTGTGTTTTAATTTCTATAATTGCAGTTTTGTAGGAATAATGGGTTCTAAACAAAAAAAACAAACATGTTTGCTTCGCAAAATCAGAAGCTGAGATGAAACTTAGGCGACATGAAACGTACAAAATAATATCTGCGGAAAAAAAAGAAGCATTGTTACTACAACGACGAACAAAAAGACAAGAGTTAAAAAGGAGTAGTCTTTCTGAGAATGTTGTTTTTCCTGGCGCTACTCCAGCTGCAACTGAGTTTCAGCAACAAAATATTCCTCTTAGGAGCTCTTCTTATGTTTTAAAAACAGGTTAGAATACATCCTTTGTTATTTTATTTTTTTAGAAATGTCCCTTCACGCTTTTTGCATGTGAGTATAATTGAATGACGGTAAATGTGTGTTGTGTTTCCCCTATTAGCCAACGAGCGTCACGTTGATGCTTTAGAAGTTACATTTGACAAGCGAAAGATTATAAATTATCCCTTCTACTCATTTGAAGTAGGTAAGTATCAAGGATGCAATGTTGACTTTTACATAATGTCTTTATTTATTCATAATTTATTACTTTTTGGCGTTAGGGTCAACGTCACATGCATCTAATGAAAGTAGTAGTATGAGCTCAACAATGGTTGGAAAAAAAGATTTGCACCAATCTTTTATTATGATACTGTTGTATATTACTTTATTGGTAATTTTATGCTAATAATACTTAAATATACAGGTTATAACTCAAAAAAAAAGAGTTATACATACGTAGGTCAGTTACAATCTGATTATGTTCCCTTGAAGACTGTTCCTAACTGTAAATTTTGTGGTGCAAAAAAATTTGAATATGAACCACCTGGATTCTGCTGTAACAATGGTTCGATCAAGTTAGTTTCACATGAGATGCCTGTTGAACTACAAAATTTATATTTAGGGACTACTGAAGAATGTAAACATTTTCGAACATATATCAGAACATACAATAATATGTTTGCATTCACATCACTTGGTGTAAATTATGATAAAGAATTAGCAAAAAGAAATCGTGGTATTTATACATTTAGAGTTCAGGGAAAGATGTACCATTTTATAAATGATTTGCTGCCTCCGAGTGGAATAGCAAAAAATCTACAACTATACTTCTATGAGAACGATAACGAATTAGCTAACAGAATGGCTTGCTTTGAGAAAATGCATGAATCAATAGTCAAAAAGCTAATGAACATACTGAGAATTAATCCATACTCTATTTTCTTAAAATTCCTAATAGATGTTCCAAATCTATCGAACTACAATATTGCACTTAAATTTGACTCAGGTTTGGATCAACGTGTATACAATCTTCCTACTACATCAGAAGTTGCAGGATATGGGTTGAAAAAGAAATCACCGAAGTTAGTTCTGCACCTCATATTCAAATCTACACTCATAGAAACAGATCTCAAATAGTGAACTACTATTACGGATGTTATGATCCGCTACAATATCCACTATTATACAACCAAAAGACTTCTAAACGTCGAGCCTTTTGTGAATACGAAGAATTACCAAGTATTAGAAATATGTGTTCTGTTGATGGATATCTTGACATGGAAGCTCAAAATCTTGAAAAAGGAAAACGAAAAAGAGATAATATCTCTGTTCGTGAATATTACTGTTATAAATTCCAAATGAGAGAAGATGAAACAAATGAAACTTTGTATTCTGGAAGATTATTTCAACAATATTCAGTAGATGAACACATAAAACTTGAAACACAGAGATTAAATTTTTTTTCATTCAACCCAGATCTCTTTAGGATAGAAATGCTACAAGGACTCATTGATATTTTAAGACTTGGAGAAAGAGACGCTTCAAATATAGGAAAGCAAACATTCCTTCCTGTTACTTTTATAGGCGGACCAAGAGACATGTGTCGACGCTATATGGATGTTATTTCTTTGGTACAACAATTTGGAAAACCTGATCTATTCATAACGATGACTTGTAACCCATCTTGGCCCGAGATAAAAGAGCACTTGCTACCAACTGACGAAGCACAGAACAGACCTGATTTAATTAGTCGAGTTTTTAAGGTAAAGATAGAAGAACTAAAAACCGATATATTAAAAAGAAATATCTTTGGAAAAGTTGCAGCTTTTATGTATACTATAGAATTTCAAAAACGTGGTTTACCACATGCTCATTTCCTTATTATACTTACTAATGAATACAAACTACTCACTCCAGAATCTTATGATAATATTGTTCGTGCTGAATTGCCTGATTGTAAAGCTGAAGAAACCTTATATAAACTTATTCTTCAACATATGATGCATGGACCTTGTGGTAAATTAAATCCTACAAATTCATGTATGCAACAGAAAAAAGGTGGTTGCAAATTCAAATATCCAAGAAGCTTTGCTGATCAAACATCAAAAGGGAAAAATTCTTACCCAATTTATAGAAGACGGAATACAGGACTTGTGAAAGTCAAAGATCACTATTTCGATAACACATGGGTTGTCCCTTATAATCCATTCTTACTTGGAAAATTCAATTGCCACATAAATGTTGAAATTTGTTCAGATATTAAAACTGTTAAATATATTTATAAATACATCTGTAAAGGATATGATAAAATCGCATATCACATACATGACAATGACACAAATGTTGAAGTAGATGAAATAAAAGAATATCAGTCTGCTCGATGGGTATCACCACCTGAGGCTACATGGCATTTATTTGGTTTTCCTATTAATGAAATGACACCAGCTGTTTATCATCTTCGGTTACATCTTGAAGGACAACAAGTTGTTTCTTTTAAGAGTGCATCGAGTATAAACTCAATTATGAATAATCCTATGATTAGAAAAATAATGTTAACAGAATTTTTCGCTATGAACAAAACAAATAAAGATGCAATAAAGCTCAATCTACTGTATAAAGAATTTCCACAATATTTTGTATGGTCAGTACAATATAAAATGTGGACCCGTCGAACAAAGGGTAATGTAATTGGACGTGTTGTAACATGTCATCCAACAGAAGGTGAAAGATATTATCTGAGATAATTATTAATGAATATAAGAGGACCAAAATCATATGAAGACCTACTAACTGTAAATGAAGTACGTTGCGATACATTCAGAGAATCAGCTCAAAAAAGAGGACTATTTCATTGTGACAATAACTTAGCTGAATGTATGCTAGAAGCTGAGAGTTATCAAATGCCATGTAGCTTGAGACGCTTGTTTGCTACATTGTTGGTATATTGTGATCCTGCTAATCCAAGAGAATTATGGGAGAAATTCGAGAACTCTATGCCTGAAGACTTCAAAGTTTTACCAGTTATCGGAACAAAAAGTGTTTGATATAAAGTTTTAGATTGTCTCAATGACATCTTACATTCGATGGGACATAACATTAATGAGTATAAACTTATCGCTGAAAATTTCAAGGCTTCAAAGGCTGCCAAAGAAGGAAGAGAAATATTCTTCGAAAGAAACATAATTGTTACTGAAGTAGAGCTATTACTGCGACAAAAATTGAACCGTGAACAACAGATGGCATACAATGTGATTATAGACAGAATATCTTCGAACTGACCGGGAGCTTTTTTTGTTGACGGTTCTGGAGGAACAGGTAAAAATTTTTTATACCGTGCCTTATTAGCTACTGTGCGATCTAAAGGATTTATTGCTCTAGTAACAGCAACCTCTGGAGTTGCGGCTTCGATTCTTCCAGGTGGTCGTACAGCTCATTCCCGTTTTAAAATTCTCATTGACATTGATGAAAATTTTAGTTGCAATATTAGCAAACAAAGTTCACTTGCCTGTTTGATTCGAGATGCAAAATTAATTGTATGGGATGAAGTATCGATGGCAAAAAAGAAAATGATTGAAACTTTTGATCTACTTTTGAAAGATTTCTTGAATACTAATGTGCTTTTTGGTGGTAAAGTTGTTGTCTTTGGTGGTGATTTTAGACAAACTTTACCAGTAGTTCGAAATGGAAAAAGAGAGGATTTTATTCATGAGAGTTTATTATATTCTGACATTTGGCCCTGACTTGAAAAATTGCAACTGTCAGAAAACATGCGTGCAAAAACTGATCCGGCCTTTTGTGAATATTTGATGAGAATAGGAAATGGAAAAGAACCTCTTACTTCTGAAAACAAAATTGAAATTCCAAAATCATTTATTGTCCCTTATACTACTGAACAGGAATCTTTGAATGCATTATGTGAAACAACATTTCCTAACATGCATGCTTTCTTCTGTGATGCATCTTCTGTAACTTCCCGCGTTATTTTGACGACGAAAAATGATTTTGTAAATGAAATAAATGATATGCTTATAGACAAATTTCCAAAAGAAGCTAAAACATTCGTTGCAATTGATGAAACATGTGAATCGAATGATCAAAGTCAGTATGAAGATTTTTTGCATTCTTTAAATCCTGCTGGTTTACCTCCTTATAGATTAACTTTGAAAGAAATTTGTCCAATTATATTATTACGAAATTTGAATCCTTGTGAAGGTTTGTGCAATGGCACAAGATTGACATGTTGTGATTTTAAAACACATGTTATAAGCGCAAAAATTGCAAGCGGTGACTTTAAAAATACACATGTGTTTATTCCGAGAATACCATTGATGTCATCAGAAGATGAAAAATCCCCAGTGCAGTTTAAAAGAACACAATTTCCAGTAAGACTTTATTTTACTATGACTATAAATAAATCACAAGGTCAAACATTAGATTTTGTTGGTATATATTTACGAGAACCAGTATTTTCGCATGGTCAGCTTTACGTTGCATTGTCGAGCGCAAAAGCTTCCAATTGTCTCAAGATATTAATTCGGCCTCCAAACCCAGATAGTGATGACGATCATTCTACATACAATATAGTTTACGATGAAATTATTCAAAAGGCTTTTTTTGTGAATCTTTTACATGTTACTGTATAATGTCTGTTCAACTAAAGAAAGTTAAACATACAGTTTAAACACAACAGCACACGTCTTGTTTGTGGAACATGTACTTAAAAGGTTAGGTTGTGCTTCTATTTCTCCATTTGGGTTTCTCATTTATTTTTTATATTTTGTTTCTTATATCTTAATGCTTCATTTTGATCTGATGTGCATAT